CCTTGGAAATATATTATTGTCAACTTGTTACAAGGCCTCCAGTTTCATTGTCTTTTGTTCAATGTAATTTTTAACAGAAATTCATTCACGAATACGAGCAGTATTCAGAGCTCTAATCTAATCAACAAAATATTTGTCAACAAGTCGTTCACGTTTTGTACATTATTGGCTTCACATTCCTACCCCCACGTGTCCGCTGTCTTCGTGTCACCGTATTATAAGCTTGACTATTGTTAACGCCACGAACATGAAAAGTCCACGAAAATGTCTGTCAATCATTTGGTATTAGGCTACGATTTTCGATATAAAGAGATCTCTTTGTAAGTAAAGGACCTGGAATAAAATTATAAGGATGGATCGAACTGAAAGATTACTGTAACAAAAGAAGAGCTTGATATTGTTTCCAAGAGAAGTTTATTTCCATATATCTTTTTTAAATTTTTAGTATGAACCTCATCAGTGACTGTAATGGAGTTGGCATAGACAAGACAATATTTTCTCATGCTATGCGATGAATCTTATACTGCTATCCAGTACTGTGAACTCGTTTCAAAGTGACCCACCCAGAATCCCAAAAGGCTTTTACGTAACGACCTAGCCGTTGACATATTCAGCGTTAAAGCCGCATCAATCAAGTGACAGCCTGCGGCAGCCTGGTCACCGACCACCAATGACACGCTCGCATCGATAACTTTAATCGAATTTCTGTTAATAAATAATAAACCAGTGCAACAGCGAAATGCTTAACAAGATAAAAACTTTGATATGATTCCCTATGATCATATTGGCACACTCAGCTAGAACCAAAACATCCTCAACTCTAGTTTGATATAAAAGAAAGTTCCAGGTAAAAAAAAACTACCGTAGGGGTCCAAAAAATTAACCGACTGGGTGCAAGACGCCCTCCCTCGGCTTCATGGTGCTATCGACACAAATCATATCTGATTTTTCGATGTTTAACTCGCCCGTTATTAATTGTGACATGACAGTCAGTGGCGTCAAGACTCTTGCAAGATTAATACCGACAAATTGCGGGCTCGTGCAAAATTGACAGCTGGTAATCGGGTCTGAAGATGGTATGCATTTTTCTCTTTCGGACTCGTCATGATTGATAATCTGATGCTGTTTTGGGTTTCGAAAACTAGCTACTTTTTAAAGCTTAATAATAATAACACCCAGATAAATCAAAACACTTATAAAGCGGCTCTCCTGGGTCACCTTCTTCTATGTATAAATAATTCTTTTATTCGGGATCCGGAGTATAAACACTTGAGAATTTATTTGAATGCCAACAAACAAAAGAGTGAAAATCTCGTTTGGCGTCCTTTAGAGGTGCTTCTGATTTGTATGAGGACGTTTAAAAATTTATTTCCGAGATCGTATTATAAACCTGCGGGACAACTTAACTACTGTACGAGGACGGACTTAGGATTATGAAATTTAAATTCGAATTAAATTGTGGTTGAATATAAAAGGTTAATTTCTTGTACATGTATCTTGTACATTAACTAACAACATTTGAATACTTGGTCGGTGTAATGATAAACCCGTTCAGAACTATTGTTAGATACATAAGTTCTACAGGATATGGAACATTTTCATCGCAATTTATTAGTGTCAGCCTAAAACCCGATTGATTCCAACTCATCATCATCATCAGCATCACAGCATCATCATCATCATCATCATCTACTCAACAAAAGCCTCTCTTCTCCTCTCTCAAACGTTGTTTTTCCAAGTTTCGTAGGACCTCTTTTGAGAAACTGTTCCTGCCTCCATGATAAGGGGAATGCGACTAGAAATCTGGCCTTCTGATCCTGATTGTTGTGGTTTTATTCGAAATTTGTAAATTGTAGTTTTTGATCCAAATATTAGGTATATACGTTGTACTTCAAAGCACTTTAAGTTACAAAACATTTTCGATAACAAGACAAGAAATAATGTCATTGATGTCGTGATTGCCACGCTTTTTCGCTGATTGAAAAGTTTATTAAAAAAAAAAAAATAAGAAATAAAAAAAAATAATAAAAAAAAATAAAAGTCAAAAATAAAAAAAAATAAAATAAAATAAAAATAAATGAATGGAGAACTTGAGATTGTAGGACTCAAGGTCGAAGCGCGTGCAAATTATGTCCTAGCTCAGAACTAAATAATTCGGAAAGTAGGGTTGGGTTTTTAGTTTTGGGCGCCACCGACTCTGAACAGATGAGTCGGACTCTCCAGGATGGTATCTGGCTTCAGGTCCTTAATTCAAATAATAATTAAGAAAAAAGAAAAATATTAACAAAAACCAGGCTGTGTGCATAAAACCAAATATAAGTCAATTAATCAAGTGCTATAGTATATTTATTACCAAATGGCCGCAGTCCACAATGAACTATATGTATTGTGATAATAATTTTGAAACAAAAATAATCAAGTAAATTTCCAATATTATCTACGAAAACTATTTGAAAAAGAAACTAGAAAAAAACTATTTAAGAGAAAGAACAATCACTGGAGCTATCATTAATTAATAAATGGAGTGACCTTTTGAGGAAGGGTCAATCGACAAATACAGTACGGCTACTATTGGAATAATAGCTATAGTTATAACAATTAAATTGAACTGTGAAAATGTTATTGAAACTCAATAACTAACTGAGTAATAAAAAAAAGGTATATATGAAATATAAGGTTTGAAAATCAAAAAAAAATAAAGAAAATAAGAAAAAAACCAATAACAAAGAATTAGTTCTCGGAACGGTTATCTTACACTTACGTAACCAGAACTACCAGTAAGTTGACATAAATCAATCAGGTTATGTCTAGCTAAGTTACCTATTTAATAATTCATTTGCCACATTGGGGCAAGCAATGAATTACTCCCGCAAATACTACTAGTGATCACTGAGGTGTACGAATAGGGACAGAATGTAAATAAACAATAATAATATATAGGTTAACCAAAACTAGTACGATACCAAAATGTTCCAAGTGATGGTGGTTCATACAATTAACCAGATTAGTCCTGGCTACTGGTTGTGGTTAAGTTGATTGAAGACTTGAGTAACCGTCCAACTACTTAGGCTGGTGTCTGATAGCCTTTTAGTTCAATTTCGGTTACCATTGAAGGTGTATTGTTGTAACCGTGAGGGAAAACTTGGTGGTAAAATAACCCTCGCAAGAAAAAACCCTAAGAGAAACTGTATTTGTAATTGAACCAATAGCGAAGCACTTCATGAATAGATTGAATTAGAAAATGAAACTATAATGTAATTCAATTAGTTTCCAATAGCAAATTTACTTGATAAAAAGACTATAGCTCTTGAAAGTTATTTTAATAGAAAAATTGAACAATAATGTATTAATTAATTAAATTAGATGAAATCATAATAAAGCTTTGATAGTAATTAAGAAAAATGTGCCTCGAGTTTGCATTAAAAAAAAATTGAGGTTAATAAGGTTATGTTTTTACCTGTTGGAAATAGGGTTTGTTTGTCTCGAAAATCTCTGGAATTCTGGATCGAGGATTGGATATCCTAGAGTGAGTGAGAATACTCTACTCTTTAGGGCAGCTTTTAATTAATAATTAAATTGAAAAAGTCAGAATCTACTGTGGGAAAAAACGTGTGCAACAACTTACCGAAATAACTGTTTTTTTAAATCCGATAACATCGGCGAAAATTATGGCACTTTACGAAAGTAAAACACAACGCAAGGTAACTCAGTGTGCCATAAATTCAGTGCAGAAGAAAACCAGGCCCAAAATCCCTTTTTAAGGTGAAGAAAATAAATAATTCTTCCGGAGGACCTCTCTTCCAAACAGTCAAACATGAAAAAGGGAAGGTGCTACACATAAGATCAACCAGCTAGCCTAAAGATAGATTCAGAGATGATTCAGAATAACGACAAACGTCAAAAAATAATCGATAGAATTCTTACTTACCAAAAATTGCACACAACAATATAAACCGAGAAAAATGACAACGGCTGACGAATAATGATATTAACAACAAATAATTATCCCATAAAACAATCATAACTTGAAGAATACAACATAGGGCAAGTGATCCGTTTGCAAAATTAGAGGGCTTAAAAATGAATCGACGATACTATAAACATTACTAATCGACCGCCGGTTGACAGAAATTATGACACTCAAAAGTCAAAAAACCGAAAGCAAGGATAACGCAGAAACATCTCAAAAGGCTATCGAACCAATGATCGACCCGAGGTTCACTAGAAGTTGCACCGAGATCAATAACTCAATAACCGAACAGAGTAAGTACGAACGGAGTAGTTCTGTACATACACTTGAAAACGGGTCATTATGATTTCGGTACATAACCCCACGAAATATTTTTGACAAATAAATATTTATTTGTTTATGAAAAGTTTGAATCAAAATATTGATTTGTTTAGATTTTGAAATTGAATTAAAATATGGATTAAAAACGAGGAAAAATCATTACAGCAAATAGAATTTGACTATTGAAAATTAGGAAATTTGAAGGATCTACAACCATTGAGATTATTGATGAAATTTTATAGAGAGAAAATGTTGACAAACTTAAGGGAATTTTGAATAGAAAACTGAAAGTAGGTAAGAATTAGTTGTGCAATTTTGGCCTGTTACATGATGCTTGGTACAACAACATTTTTTTTTCTGTGCAGCATATAAAGATAAAATATTACATAAAACTTGTAATTCTAACATCGATTTTAATGGCTAATTTTAAACAATTCCCACTGCTACCGAAACGATTGGACAAACCCGAACAGTAAATTATGTGTCTGGGTACACACCCCCGCGCTTCGTTCGCATGGATTTCACATTTAACTGGCTTCTAAACAATCATTCTGTCTAATAATTTAGCATAAAACAATCGTAAATGTTTTATTAGTCGGATGTGGTTATGGATTTTATTAACTTTTAAAAAACCTTTCGCTTCATAATATTAGCATTATAAGAGCCTGATAGTTTTTAGTTTTTAAAAAAGTAATCTTTCTAATAAATAATGGCTTGCCATGTACGAGATGAAGATGTTACCAGAAGATGGTAAGCCTCGCGTGACAGATTCAGTAGTTAGGTCCTTATATGCCACCCCAGATTATGATGCCTATCAGCCAGATATCTTATTCCCTGTCAGGCGCACACTACCTTTTTCTTACAATAAACGGAGCTTATCTTGATGCCGTATTGTTTTTACACGCCTCCGGCCTGCCAGTAGCGTATCTCCTCAGACCGATCGAAAGAAGTAACCTGATAGGCCAACTGCAACAAAGTTTGTTTCGTTTTTTTGATTTTGTTGCACCACCAAGAATATTCAACAATAGGGTTATGCATGATGCAGCTATATCGAAATTGCACAAATTTTTTTTCACGTATAACATTCTCTATAGTGATTCTACTCTAAGACACTCGAGTATTCAAAAATGCAGATGCTGTATCATTACAATTTCTTCGTCTTCATCAACGGAAATTTTACATAAAATCCAAATCCGGAATTCCTTATTCCTATAATTAATAAATCACCGGCCCATATTTTGATAAACAGTGACAGATCCAATAACGGTCCTGGCGCGCTACATATTTATGAATTCAGTTTATGGAATCGTGTTTTAATGGCACAAACGAACCGCCGAAAGACCCTTTTCGGGTTTCGAATTTACATTTCAAACACTGCAGGTGGTTCGGCGAATTTGTATCCTAATAATGTTCAGCTCTTCTCCTAATTTGGACTTAAGAGAAACGCCTGTTATTAGGAAACAGTTCTCATGACAATATCCACTGGACTTAAAAGAAACATTTCGAAACATCCGCGCCTCATCATCATCATTAATTAAGCGCTGGTTAACATTTTTGAAGTGTCTAAGAAAAAAATATACAGTGAGGACACGGATTCGTACAAGGCAAGACTCCGATCAATTATAAAATTGTCGATGGCCGATGCAGTCCCAGAATTAATTTCGAATGAATGTTAATCGTTGTGTGTCCGCAAGACAAATTAGGTGTCAAGAGTGAATTTTAATTAGAAACTGCATTGTAATATAGTCGCATGCGGTGCTCTCTGTAATGTCGCACGTCTCGATAGATCGAATCAGAAATCGGTGGATTGGAGGGCACTTTTAGGCAGCTAATTAGTAATTTGAAATTGGAACAGAGAGAGGGAAAACCTCAAGTGTATTGGTTCATTTATCATTTTTAGAGCAACATCTGGATCTGGATTTAGTGGAAGGTGTCCCATGACGGGTCACGGCGCTTAGGCTCCATTTGAATCCCAGTTCAAGTGATCTTGGTGTCACCCAAGAGCAGGCTGTTGCGCAAAAATTAACCCTTGAACTGTTTAAATAATGAATTTGAATAAATAAACCCTAATAGGCCTAGGTATAGTAGGACACCCTTAAGGAATGCGGCCAGCGCAACAAAGTGCTCGCAGCTACTCAGTCAGTGTAGGAGTAGGTTCATTATATAGATTTAGCTTTATAGGGCACCACTGGTTTATGAAATAAAATCCGCGGACTTAAACCAGAAAGTCCCTGATCTCCAAAGTTCTTCTAAGATGTTCCCACCCGATGTACCTATTATTTAAAAATAACTTTACGTCAGTTTGGTTGAGGTCAGTAGGGGTAAAATAAGAGTCAAATCTGAAAACAATGATTATTAAGAAACGTTAATAAATCAACGGGTACATCACCCCCTTGTGGTCCTCCCTGCAGTCTAAACATCCATTTCCATACTGTCTCATGACAGCCTCACAGCCCTGATAACAGACCCCATCAACTTCTTTTGACTTCCCTTCTTAAGTAGGGTAAATTACGGTTTCGAGTTCAGTGTTGTGGCTACTCTGATACCTCGCCTTCGAAACGTTAGCAAAACGTCGAAAGAGAGAAACCCAATGGTAAAGTAAAAGCTAAAAACCCTGGTTACAATTCGGCCTTCTAGATGAACAAAACGTGCTCTTTGCTCGCACGAAAACTCAACAAAATGGCGTAGACTTTCGTCTGCAGAAAATTCTGAGTGGTTGGCTTACAAATACGGGGACTTACAACCAAATCCAAGTTTTCACCCCAAAACCAATTTAGCCAGCATACCACTTGTGTTCTCAGCGGTTCTAAAATCCCACAAAAGGTGGATGTTCCAAAGAACGCAGCAAAAAGGACCGCTGGTAAAATCTGTCAACAACTTATTGCTTGTTCAACGTGCGAATTTAAAGAGAACGACCCTTTTTCGGCAATTTACCAGGTGAGCTCATATGAAAAATTTCCCAGAATTCTATTTTCTCCAAGATGCCCCCTGGTGCCAGATTTCCAGTCTTGACCAGGAAAACGAGACAATCAGCTTGAAACGAACAACCCAAACCACTAATTAATTAATTAATAATCATCATCATCTACCCAGTCTTTAGTCTAAAAACCATCAAAATAACCACCTGTTCAGAAATAGCAACGTTATAGCAACGCGCTAGCAACAAATGTCAAGAAACCTTTGCAACAGCGCTTCCTGACAAGGATCAACAAGTGTTCCATAACCATACTTATTCGGGGAAAAGAAATAACCGGAAAAATGTAAATATTAGTGCAAATAAAAGTGAAAAAGCGATTTAAAGGGTGAGAAAGTGATTTGTGGTGTTGCAGAATTTATAATAATGGAAAATACGAGACTCGTAGTGTTGCCAATTGGTATTTATTTAGAAGTAAACAAACATTTTCATTAATAGTTAGGGCTTTTTAGACAACTTTCGTCAGCTAAATAAAATAGATTTGGATCCTAACAGTAAGGCTTTATCATCCTGAAACTACCCTGTCATCTGAATACAAAGAATTAACTCAATATTACCCCGAAAAATATACTTTTGTTCAACACCCACATATTGTTTCGCTCGTTGTTTCGCATCCAATCAAAGAGGTAGAAATCTAGTAAAATTCAATGAGAAACCTATTAATCACCGAAAAATATTAAACCTCAGGCATAAAGCTTCATAAATACCCTCACAAATACCTGAATTCATTACTGAATTTATTCGAAATTCCAGTTACGTACTAAGGCAAAATTTGTACGTAACAAGGCGTCTGTTCTTACACCTAACCCTTTCAGAGTAGATGATGATTGTTCTGTCCACGATGTTTGGTTTGAACAACGCTAGCATGTTTGTCCATAGGCCACTTCAGTTTTAGCTTCAAGCTTCGTGAATAAATTCCACAGCCGGCCCCGTGAGAATAGAGCCATCCACGAAGACGTTGATTGCACCCACCACTCTAGGCTTAAGTCCCCAAGTTCTACCTCCAGTTCTGCGGCACTGCACAAAAGAAATGTATGCCTTTTTGAGTCTGGTCTTAAGGTGAAGAATCCAGTTCAATTTAGCGTCTAGAGACAAAAGGCGCTCTGCATATTGTTGCACAGGAATTCTTCAGATTTTCCATCAAGAAGTATCTGCGTAGACAATTAGAGTTGAAGCGGTGTAAGAGGCTGTCGAGAGCAAGGTTTCATAGCAGCGTTAAATGCCACCCTGTATGCACGTTGGTTGGTTTGTATTGGGCTGTTGACCAGTATACAATTATACAGTCCTTCAATAGGGCTCACGTAGCCTCTCCATTGTTTTGATTACGAACGATGTGAGACTGAATGGACGATAAGCTTTAAGGTATGGTCTAGTCCAGCCGTCCTGCTTTGGGATGAAAACTACTCTCACTTCTCTTAATGAATTCGGTATCTACATAGTACAGCGCTGGGCAAGCGCAGAATACCATTTCCAGGTGCGGCATTAGGATGTCCAGACCCCATTGGAGTAGGGCTGGACGTATGCCGTCATTTATGAACATAAAAGAAACATATATTGAGCAAATATATCTAATGGGTTATTCCAATGGATTTCATTGTGGACACATTTTTAGTAAATGGAAAATAGCCGGTTACTAAAATATATTGAAGATAAACACCATAGAAGGTAACTGCAAAAATATTAGGAGCGACCAAATTCCGGAAACTTGGAAGAAGAAATCGCAGGAGAACAAGAAAGAGTTGCAGAGCTAATGAAGACGAAGAAATGAAATTCAGAATTAAAAGATTACAAAATTTAGAAATGTCAGCAGGTACAGATTGGGTAGAATTACGTACCGTTACAATTTGATAACTTATTTATTCACGCACAAATAAATAAATAAATATTTATTATTCCAGTTCTGTTATCTAAACAAGAGGTCGTCATCGGCGCCACACTTTTTTACGGTCACACATTTTTCATGGTAATTAAATGGGCCGAAACGGTTGGTCGGTTGTGCAATGACCATAGCCGTAAGCCGTACACCAATTATCTTTAAAGACCCATCTGCCCAAAAATAGCGCGAGCCTTGATGGACCTATTTGGGTGGTCAATAATTTTTTCGGTCGAATTTATTTTTGCTTCCCCATATAATAATTAATTTTCACACTAAACATTTGGTGCGCAAAAGCAAAATGCAATCAAGTCACTATATATTTAGTTTTGGAAAAATACTCCATCGATATAGAGCGAGCCACTTAAGTGCTAAAAGCTTGTTTTGCTGCAACGAAAACTCAATTACTGGAAAATTTTCCGATAAAACTGATTTTGCGACATGGCAGCCAATTTTCGCTTTAATAAATTTAACTGGCTGCTGCTCCGGCATCATGAAACTTTTCGATAGTCGTTAAAGTTGACAGCGCGAAACTTTATTTAGGTTTATTTTTCTATAGAAATGCATTGTGATGGCTAGCGCATAGTTGCATTAAAACTTTAATGGACGAACAACTTGGGGTAATAACACTGTGTTTTAATGATATACAGATACTCAATGCATATTCTAAAGAAATCCTTTCTGGACGGGAAGATGGAAGAGACAAAAACGAGATAGTTTCTAATAGATGGGATTTATTGGTAGATAGACCCATAGGTAAGTAATTATATAAGCCTGGACGGAATCCTTTTAAAGCCTCGGAAGCTTTCACAAATTTGAGCTCTGGAGGTACCAAACTGGCTGGAGACAACCAAATAATGGCTGGGGATCAACTTCTTGCAGGACATAAAATTTCCTCGAAAA